GACAATGTTGGGACAACAGGCAAAATTTTAATATAGATTAAATATTTAATATAGATTTTAATATAAAAGTTTAACAAAAATTTTAATATAGATTGTCTATTAGATAATAAGAAACATCAATATTAATTTGCCTGAATTTGATGACGGTGTCATGGTTATACATGACATGTATATGAGAATACATTTTTATGTAGGAAACATACACAGCAGTACTTAGGGGTAAAGGGTTATGATATCTGCAACTTTCAAATAGCTCATCAAAAATGTGTATGTAATGGTTATATGTTAACATATAGAAGGAGATAGAAATGGGTGCGGCAAGATGCAATTCTAGGTGAAGTATAGGACATTCATTGTAATATTCTTACAACTTTTGTAGGCTTAACATTGTTTCAAAGTAAAAAGTTAAAAAATATGCTGTCATTCATAACACTGCTATGAGAGGTGAAGATGGTAGTTTTAAAAATACGTCACTTTAGGGTAAAACAAAAAGTACTCAACTTTATGTTGTTTCCCAAAAATAATTTAAAAATTAAACTGGTCTATTAAACCACAGACTTGCACCGGAGATTACACTTTCATCTTTAATTAATAGAACAAAAAAAGTCATCTTATATTAGCAAGTTTTCTCCAAGAATAATTTTATATACGTTGAAAAGAATGCAATTTGGGGGGGGGGTGTAAAATGAGATGTTTATTTTTTTTTGGCAAGGTATAGATAAGGAAATTATATTTTTTCTCCCCTTGAGATTTGTAGTGTGAAGTTAGTTGCTTCACTAAATGTTTTCTTCATTCTACAGGATGGTATTTGCTTTGCAAACAGTTCTGTAGCTATCCCTATATAGTCTTACAGCTTATCCATTCATCCCACAAACATCCATTTAGCATTTTTGTTTTAAGACACTGTAAATAAAATAATGAGTAGGTTTTTGTCCTTGGGTGTAAGAGGAGGAGAAACAAATCAGTTCAAAACAATGACGGTGAGCACACAATAAAAATATGAACAAATTGCTGTCTATGGTAATACCAGAGAAGACACCCAGTTCCTTTTTTTTTTATATATATTTATTTATGATAGTCACAGAGAGAGAAAGAGAGAGAGGCAGAGACATAGGCAGAGGGAGAAGCAGGCTCCATGCACCGGGAGCCCAACGTGGGATTCGATCCCGGGTCTCCAGGATCACGCCGTGGGCCAAAGGCAGGCGCCAAACCGCTGCGCCACCCAGGGATCCCGACACCCAGTTCCAAATGGTGTTGGAAATTTAAGGAAGGCTTGCTAGATGAACTTGCAAAATTTCCCTCAAAAACTCTACACAGGGGATCCCTGGGTGGCGCAGAGGTTTAGCGCCTGCCTTTGGCCCTGGGCGCGATCCTGGAGACCCGGGATCGAATCCCACGTCGGGCTCCCGGTGCATGGAGCCTGCTTCTCCCTCTGCCTGTGTCTCTGCCCCCCTCTCTCTCTCTGTGACTATCATAAATAAAAAACAAACAAAAAAAACCTCTACACAACTGTAGAAAGGAAAGACCTCAGGGACCATATGGAATGTTCCAGACCTTTCTCTGCTTCATCTGTGCTTCCTGATTGCTTGTATTCTTGATGTTATTAGGAAAGCTTAATACTGGAGTAGTTTATGGGAGTCTGACTTTACAATCTAACCCACTGCGTTATAACTATCATCCTTCAGTGGCTTCCTGTTATAGGATTAACAGCAATATCTTCAAGATGGTCTTGAGCATCATGGTCTACTCCTACCTACATCTTTAGTTCCATCTCTTACCACTCACCCCTTCACTCACTGCATTCTAGGCATATAGAACTTTCAGTTCCTAAAAAAGTGCTGGATTCACTTCTGCCATTTGGTCTTCGTACATCTGGTCTCCCTCTTCCAGGAGGCCCTTTATCAGCTGGTCCAGCCCCTCTGCTCCCTTTAATCCCCATTCCCTCTAGATTCATCTTTTATACTTTAACTCAAACAATCCTTCTTCACAGTAGCCTTTTCTGACTGCAGTGAAGGGCAGGTTTGATAATTATGCCTCTATTTAAAAGGAAGATTCCTTACAGCACTTACCTTAGTTTATAATTATGTTCTTATTTGTGTGGTTATTTACGTCATTTTCCTACTGGACCACACATTTTATGAGACCAGGACAGTATCTTTTCAACTCAATTCTGGGAATACTGCATTTTATAAATATCTGCTGAGTGAATTAAATGAATAGTGAATAAAATGAGGAAACCTAAATCTGATAGCAGCATCTGATTCCTGAGGCCAGGAATCAATTGAGTAATACCAGTCCAGCAGGAGATCATTAAGACCTAAGAAAAGGAGATGGAATCCAAATGTGCTACTCATTGTGTGGAATCTTGGACACATTTTTTAGCTTCTGTGAATCTCAGTTTCCATATCTATAAAAGAGTATAATAATAGTGTCCATCTCCCGGCTTTGTTACAGTAATTACCTGGGACAGTGTATATAGAGCTTAGTGCATAGGAAGTGTCAGATTAGTTCATAGAAATGCCCATCATCTAATCTCATTGAGCTGCCAGATCTGGGTTGCAAACTTGGCTCTCAGCTTTCTTGTGGCTAATGTGAAAATGGAAAAGTGATTATTTAGAAAGGTCATAGTGTTCTTAAGATATAAATAAACTGTGAATTCATGAAAAGCAGAGCTCTGCTCTTTTGCCCCCTTGTCTATTCCCCACTGAAATAAACTTCTCCTGTTGGTTCTGCAATAAGAGACCCAGGCAGGCTGCAATGGATGGAGATCTCTATCAAAGGGTTCCTGTGGCTGATTCACATGGCCACCCCCTGATGTGAACCAAAGTCAAAGTAATTGTGCAAGAGGTCATTGTTCTGGTGTCTGAAATGACTGAAGAATAAAAGTTAGAATACTCAAAGGAGGTTTCTTAATCTGGGATGTCAGGGTATCTGTAAAATCCCTAAACTGTACCAGTGCTTCGCACCAAATAACTGGTTTATAAGTATCTACAGGAATATGCAGGTGGAAGAAATGTGTTGGATATCGAGTCAAGCAAGCAAGTATGTTGGGATTTAGGTGTCTCAGGCCTCAGGCCTCTAGCCTCAGGTATGGGCCACTGTTTGTAAGCACCCAAAATACCGAAGTTTCTCATAGAGCCATACTCCTTAGCATAGGTTTGGGTTTCGCTGAGACTATGGAAGTGCCCACAAGTCAGGGCCAGGAGGGTGGTTAGAATTATCAGTCTATCCCAAGATAGCAATATCAAGAGGGAAGAAATATCAGTTGGAAAACTGTCATCAGTGATCAAGGAACATCAAGATGTTGTATCATCCAAACGGAACCAAATACTTTAGAAAGCAAATGCTGAGGGGATCTGATGAAAATATTTATAAAAAATTTCTAGTCATCATGCCTCCAACAGAGAATGGGACAATCAATGGAAGAGGTATAAAAAACATTTCAGGTGGAGACAAGGTACCTTGATGTGTAGATGAATGATGGCTCTATTTCCAAGTTGGTGTATTCAGTTATATTTCTGTGTACGTTAGCCTTGCAACTTGTGAGCCTGGAGGGCACACATAATCCTATTAGGCAAGATTCTCTCAAGCAGGCATTTACTTTTACATGCCTTTGAGGATGATGATATGAAATATCAATTTTCCTTCTTTCCATTTTCATCCCTTCTGGGCGATGGTGTAGTAGGATGTGCAAGGATTTCAATATATCTCCCTGAAGGTAGGACCAGAGATTATATTGTTTGAAAAGGAAGGATTTCTATTTCTTCTGCTAAACTATTTTGTTATTTCAAAGTATGATGTGATCTTATCACATCAAGCAGCTCCCACAAATTACAGGTTCCATAACCCACCCACTTTGGTGGGTCTGCCATCTGGCCAGATACACAGGCCTGGGGAGAGTGAGAACGGAGCCTAGCTGAGAGCAAGCAGGGCCTGCAGCCTGGGCTAGGTGTGCTGTGGTGTCCAGATGTTAGCATGTCTGAAGAGCAGGGTTGGGATGGAACCCTCAGAAACATCCATGGTAAAATCCACACAGAGCCATACAAAACTTGCTTAATTTAGTATTTTATGTGGAAGAAGTAAACAGCACTCTAATTCTGACAAGGGTTTCTGAGAAGAAGCATCTGTACTTACTATAAAAAGTGTGCCTCAGAGTTAGGTATACCTGGAATGTACTTGGTACCCAAATCAGAAGATGGAAAGAAAATCATATTTGCTAACTGAAGGTGTCTTGTGAAATATGACATTTCAATGAGGCAATGTCTTTGAATTTATGCTTATGTTTCCTACACAAATAGGTTTGCATATGTGCCATATTCAAGGCACTGTGCTGAGGCAGCCTGATGGGTGTCCATGGCACCCATCCATTTGCACATGAGCGCTGTGGTCCTCTGGCTACTCTCTACCTTTCTGAATCTGAGAAGTACACTGAAATTCAGGGGTAGAACCAGATGACCTTCTAGGGTCCTTTCAAACTCAAATATTTTACAGTGCCAGTCTAGATGACACCAGATGTTTTAATTCATTTGCAGAGCAAGAAGGGATGAAGTCTATTTTTTAAAGACCTGCATGTAAAGCTATTAGAGACTACGATTTAGAGAAAGTCAGACTCCTTTTTATAGGTTAAATAAAACTATGATGTTTATTTAGCTGTATATGTATGTTTGTTTTGTTGATCACTTGTATCATAAACTTGTTGTTGATGGTGCAAATAATAAGAAAGAGTTGAGTTCACATTTTTTCCAATGAGAGATTTTGTTTCTAAAGAGTGCATTTCTCTTCTTTGTGTCAAATGAGAGAAGGAAATAGAAACGGCATCTCCTTGAGATCCCCAAATACCAGCAATTAGGTACGTGCTATTAAAATAAAAAAGAATAGCAAAAGCAAACATAAGTCAGCAGCTATGGCAGCTTAGAATTGTTTTCTGGTTAGATGCTGTTGGACTGTTTGAAGATCCCAGGCACTTGCATCCCCCAGAGGCCGTGGGCTCCCTTTCTTACCTGAGGAGCCGGAGCTCTGCCAGCAGAGTGGGGTTTTGCTGAGCCTTCTCTGGAGTGGGCTGAGAAGCTTGTTCATGTTCTAGCCGCAGCCTCTGGATCTCCTGTAAGATTTCTCTTGGGAGAGAGGAAGAGGATAAGAAACCAGGGTCAGTCAGCTTCCAGGATATCCAGGATACTCACATCTGGGCAGGGTGGTCCCATGTTTTGGAGCAGAAGAAGGGCTCACTAACCACCGGTGCTCACGGGGTATTGGCTGTGGCTAGATGGGTGCTGCTGGGCCAGGGGTGGCTGATGTCAGCTCTGAGATCTCAGCTCTGAGATCCAGTCAGACTCTGCATATGTTGTTGTAGCCATCAGGCTGAGTGTCTTGCCAGGACCTCATAATCTCTCCAGTAAGTAATATAATGCTGCAGTAAAAGCGTGCTACTTAGGAGCAAGAATGTATCTTCCGATTATTTATGATCATGGTCTGATGCCAGGAATGCCTTGCAGCTACCAAGGAAGAGGTGCTTGGAGGGAAGATAAGGATAAATGGTGGTCATTTCACAAAACTAAATAACCCCATTCTTTCACCAGAAATGAGATTCCTTTCACTGAATTTATCTGAGAAGCCCATGGTTAGGGAAAATTTCTTTTCCTTAACATTTTCAGCCTTAACAATGGATCTCAGTGAGGATAGCCTTTGAAGGAAAGTGCTTTTAAAAGAATTCACTGTAATTGACTGTATGACATAAGAGTGCACTTGGTGTGACCCCTGTCAGGGGTGAGACGTGTCAGTCTATTATTGATGTTGGAGCCTTGGCTGCCCTGCACTGAGGTGAATGTTAGGCCGGCCATAGAGGGTAGGTGACCTACACAAGGCAAATTATCCCTAAATGAGTTAGAAGCCATTAAGCAAGGTGACAAGTCACATATTCCTGGGGGAGGGGTCAGTCTCCCATCCAGCAAAATGCACAAGAGACAGACAAAAATAAGAATAAAGCACCAAGGAATGGAAGGTGAACTTGGTGAGCAAGGGGATGGCTTTCCATCTGAAAGGCTGATTTACAACTGCCTGCTTCATAGACACACCAGAGTTGAGAAGCTAATTATCAGTCGCTACCTCTTGTGGGTCTAGTGAGAAGACTGAACTATAATTCAATGGTTTTCCACCTTTTTCTGTCCCCCTTGATGTTCCATGGTGGAAGACTTTCTTTAAGAGAAATATTCTACGGAAATTCAATACATCAGATAGTTAAAAGGAAGCTGCTCTGGTGAAAGAAAGGGGGTGAGACCTGAGCCCTAAGCCTTCCCTCCCCACATCTTCAGGCACCTCAACAGAGCCCCTGCATCCCACAGAGCTCAGCCTGAAAAATCAGTAAGCTTGGATTTCAAATATCTCCTCCAGGGCTAACATCCTGATATTTTATGAATCCCACTAACTCTCCTTGTTGATTTCCAATGACAGAACCATGATGTAGCATTTAGCCTAAGGAGGGAAAGAGAGAAGCAGCTCTGATAAGGAAAATAATGGTAAGATATGTAAAGAGCATTGAGTACTTAGTTTCTACCCAGGAAACTATAACTCTCTTCTCTCATCTTATTTTATTTAATCCTCATACAAATTATTTTATATGTGGGTACTGCTATTATCCATTTCACGAATAAGGAAATCAAAGCACAGGCCAGTTAAATGACTCACCTGAGTTTAATAACAGTAGATGTGATTTGAACTCAGGTTCAATGCTCGTATGTATCTGACTCCCTCTGTCTTTGGTACTTGCTCTGACAGGTCTAGCCTATGCAGGCTGTGACTTATGCGATGTAATATAAAGAGTCCTGCTACTCCTAATACCAATCCCAACTGGCTCCTCCAAATGTGCTATGAGGAAGCATTATCTACTAAGATGATTGCTAGAATGTCCACAAATCACCTAGGGTAATCATAAAGTGAAATGAGGAACTCTGTCCTCCTCTGAAGCTCAGAGATCTGATTAGTGAGTTGTCACCTTAGAGATCACGGGATCCCTGGGGTGAATTCCCATGATGCAGAATGTGACCTGGATAAGCTTCCAGGACATGATTCTGGGATCTTTGGAGGGCATGAGGCCGCTGGTTTAGAGAAATGTGTTCAGGATGGACTAGATGCTCTTCAGGCATGGGGTGGGGAACTCTATGCACCATGAAAGGACTAAGGGACAGGATGAACTTCTCTTTCTGCCCTCTGTTCTCACTCCTATTTTTTAATTCTTCCTCTGGTCCTAACACATGCATTCAGAGGGTACAATTCCAGAAACATCTTGGAAACAAGCAGTAAGAGGGGTAAGCACAGGACAGCTGGGGCCATTAGGACATTCATGGTGCTTCTTGCTGATTCTGGAATCCTCCATGGAGGCAGATATCCCTGGGGTATTTCCTTAAGGGGAATCTTGATTTCTCCTCATCCTGAGTGGAAGCAGAGGATTGGAGAGGAAAATAAGGTGCTTGGAGAGATAAGAGAGCATGTGAACACCACAACCAAGATAAGATATTTGTGGGCTTGGGAATTTCACTTTAGTCTTTCTTTCCTTCTAAGAATGTGAAAATGTGCCAACCAAGTTTGAACCTTCCTTTTAATTTTTGTTCATGGAACTTTAAAAAATACTTTCACCATTTATCCCCAAATTCTCAGGTCAAACTCTATAGGCAGGAAACAAAAATTACAATCTTGTCATCTTTCAGGTAGATGTCAGAAGTGACATCAGTGTCTAAAAATAGGATCCAGTGGTAAGATATTTTGGTGATCTTCTAAGAAATATAGAACATACAAGTTGCTCCCATGGTGGACTTACTCAGTATTGAGTTTGAGATCTAACTCCACTATTTATTATTTTCTCACTCAGTATATATTTACTGAGCTTATACAACATCCTAAACGAATGGTTCTGGAACCCAGGGACCAATGGCATGACCTCTGTACTCAAAGAATTTACACTTCAGTCAGAGGAGACAAACAATACAAAGAAAGGAAATACATAGATGCAATTATTTGATGGTGATATCACTATCAAACAATGGCATCATAATCAAATCTCTCTCTCTCTCCCTCCCTCCCTCTCTCTCTCTCTCTCTCTCTCTCTCTCTCTCTCTCACACACACACACACACACACACACAGGGAGTTGTGATAGAGAGGTTCTTGATGTAGGAGGTTGTGGGCAAGAGTAGATGGTTGGTTCTATGAGCTGAGACCTGAATGATGAGAAGGACTCATCCATGCAGAGACTGTAAGGAAGAGCTCTCTAGGCTGACAGAGCAGAGTACAGAGGCTGTAAAGAAAGAAAGAAGCAGGTACGTCATAAGCTGGGTTTGCTGAGGCTGGAAAGGTAGGCAGGAATAAGGCCAGGTCACACCATGGTAAGAAATGTGGGTTTTAGTCAAACTGTGATGGTTTTAGTCAGACCCTCTGATGGGTTTTGAACAAAAAATAACCTGATAATGACTTGTGTTTTATACAGTGAGAGTGACAGGTTGGGTTGGTGGTAATGGCAGAAACGGAGTGGACAGTTTGGGGTATACTGTGATGGTCAGTTGTGAATCAGTCTGTGCTGAATAAAGAAAAGCCTGCCAATGGACTAGGCATGGAGGTGTTTGGCTTAAACAACTGGGGGTCAGTGGTGTCAATCCAAATGCCTCTTTTAGCCAGGGGTCCTTACAAGGACCTTCCGTAAAGAGCCTTCCATTTGTCTCTGGATGGCACTCAGGAGGGCCCTCCTGTATGCGCCAGCTCCTGAACAAAAGCAAGCATGTGAGTACAAGGGAAATGAGGCTGTCTAGAGAGAAAGCATTGACTGTACCGAGAGCTCAGAACTGTATATATACTGTCACATGAAGCTTTCAAAGATCTAAAATGTAAAGACCTGCTTTTTTAGAAGCCAACATCACTGACTAAAGATACCATCCTTTAAATATGCACAGAGCTGAAAAAACTGGATATTTTAAAGCAAAATTACAAGCTTTCAGTGAACACATACTCTGATAAAAAATGCCAGCATGTCTAAAAAGCCTTACCTGTTCTTGTTTTCTAGCTCTGCAATCAGCTGCCTCTGTTGCTTATTTGCATCAATGGTGAAAGAGATGTCAGGAGCACTTCTCTGCTGAGTCGGCTGCTGTAAAACATGTGGTTTATGCTATTAAACATTGGGAATGTGCTTGAGAAGATGGGGAATCACGAGATATGAGGACATGAAAGAAAAAACTATTTCTATCAAAAAAAGAAAAGTAAATACATGAAATTGCCATTCATCTCTTACGGACCAACCTTTCTGAATCTGGAGGACACCTCTGCAGTGAAAAGCAGAATAGAATTCTTTGGCAGGCAAATAGACAAAGCACAGAAAAAGTTTTGTAGCTTTCTTTTTTTTAATTTAATTTTTTAAAAATATTTTTATTTATTTATTTGAGAGAGAGAGAGAGAATGAGCGCGCACGCACAGGTGCGGGGGTGGGGAGGGGCAGAAGGAGAAGAAGAATCCCAAGCAGAGTCCCCACTGAGTGTATCAGGCTCCATCTCTTGACTCTGAGATTAGGACCTGAGCTGAAACTAAAAGTTGGATGCTTAACTGAGGGAGCCCCCCACAGGCATGCTTTCTTCTTCTTTTTTTTAAAGATGTTTTTGAGAGAGAGTGAAAAAGAGAGAGAACAAGTGGGTGGAGGGGCAGAGGGAGAGAGATTCTCAGGCAGACTTACTTAATCAGTGCCAATTTTAAAAGCTTGACTTTCTTTTTTTCTTTTTTAAGATTTTATTTATTTATTCATGAGAGACACAGAGAGAGAGGCAGAGACACAGGCAGAGGGAGAAAATGAGCAGGGAGCATGACTCAGGGCTTGATTCCACAACCATAAGATCATGACCTGAGCTGAAATCAAATGTCTGATGCCCAATCAACTGAGTCACCCAGGTGCCCTCGTTTTGTAGCTTTCTGACTTGAAGTTTTTGGGATCTATTTCATGCTTGTGCTGTCTCCATTGCTACAGTTCTCTCAGTATACAGGTGGGTGTAAAAAGTACTTCCCTGTTGAGACAACTCTCTAAAATTACTGTTCAGTCACTCTAATGCACAACTAAAAATTTCATAGTTTTAAAATCATAGTTAATACAATTTTCTTTCCTTTTTTTGGTCAACACACTTTTATTTTATTTTTTAATTTTATTATTTATTCATGAGAGAGAGAGAGGGAGAGAGGCAGAGACACAGGCAGAGGGAGTAGCAGGCTCCATGCAGGGAGCCCGACGTGGGACTCCATCCCAGGTCTCCAGGATCACTGGGTGAAGGTGGTGCTAAACCGCTGAGCCACCTGGGCTGCCCTGATCAACACACTTTTAGCATTTAATTTTACATTGATGGGTATATACATCCTTCCCCCACATTCATGCCATACCACTCATCACTCCTGATCATGGCAGCCAGCTTTAAGAACTGGTATATATGCAGTCATAGCTTTTGCTATATATATATATATATATATATATATATATACACATATACATAAAAGTATGGGTATATGATTACATATGTATATACATATGTATATTTATATGTGTATTTTTGTTGTAAAATCAAAGTACTATTATTTTATTAAGTGAGTTCTTTTATACAATATCGACATTTCTTTTTTTTTTAATTTTTATTTATTTATGATAGTCACAGAGAGAGAGAGAGGCAGAGACACAGGCAGAGGGAGAAGCAGGCTCCATGCACCAGAAGCCCGACATGGGATCCGATCCCGGGTCTCCAGGATTGCGCCCTGGGCCAAAGGCAGGCGCCAAACCGCTGCGCCACCCAGGGATCCCAATATCGACATTTCTTATAAGAAATTTTTTATAACAGAGATGGACTGTTTTTCAGATTTCCATATAAGAGTCAACTTTTACATATATATGTATATTTACATATGTATATACATGTAATCACTGTATTTATATGTGTGTGTATGCATGTGTGTTTAATGAAGGTTTTTTAATTTTTTTAAATTTAATTTTTAATTTTTAATTTTTATTTATTTATTTTTTGTTTAATGAAGGTTTAATCTGTCATTGTCTTATAAAAATAGGATCAGATTATGCATAGTTCCCTGCCCCTTTCTTTCTTTGCTCTACAGTACATTATAGAAATTCCTCAATTGGTTTTTAAACAACTTTTAAAAAATCACAATCTGGGATCCCTCGGTGGCGCAGCGGTTTAGCGCCTGCCTTTGGCCCAGGGCGTGATCCTGGAGACCCAGGATCGAATCCCACGTTGGGCTCCTGGTGCATGGAGCCAGCTTCTCCCTCTGCCTGTGTCTCTGCCTCTCTCCCTCTCTCTCTCTGTGACTATCATAAATAAATAAAAATTAAAAAAAAATAAAAAAATAAAAATAAATAAAAAATCACAATCTTTCACTAAAGAAAGCTAAGCTTTGGGGCACCTGGGGGCACTCAGTGGTTGAATGTCTGTCTGCCTTTGGCTCAGGGCATGATCCTGGGGTCCTGGGATTGAGTCCTGCATCAGGCTCCCTGTGAGGAGTCTGCTTCTCCCTCTGCCTGTGTCTCTGCCTCTCTCTCTCTCTCTTATGAATAAATAAATAAAATCTTAAACAAAGAAAAAAAGAAAGTCAAGCTTTTAAAATTGGCACTGATTAAGTAAGCCCACGAAGACAGGGAAAAACCTCAGCCTGCTGTTTGATGTTCAGACACATGACTGGAGGAAAGGGTAAGCTTGGTCAATGTCTGGTTTTTCTAAAGCTTTTCTATGATTTTTTAAATTAGCATTTCTTTTAATGAAGAAATTATCTGTGTTGTTAATGAAGAGATTTGAGGGCCTAGGTTTTATGTCTTAAATGGCCTCCTGTAGCTTTGACCTATGATCCAAGTTTTCCCTCTGATTTTTTTTTAAAGATTTTATTTATTTATTCATGAGAGACACAGAGACTGAGGTAGAGACATAGGCAGAGGGAGAAGCAGGCTCCCCATGGGGAGCCCCATGCTGGACTCGATCCCAGAACCTCGGGATCACGCCCTGAGCCAAGGCAGATGCTCAACCACTGAGCTGCCCAGATGCCCCTCCCTCTGATTTCATTACATACTTTTTTGTTTCTCTTATCTATTATACATTGATAAAAGCAGAAACTTATCTGAGTCAGTAATGGATTTGGGTCATTGCGTTGCCCTTTCTATTAACTGATCAGGAATTACCCAGAAAAATCAGGTGTTGGGCTGGTGCAACAGTGTTGGAACAGAATATCTGAAACTATGATTTCTGCCCCACCAGAACCATAGCTGGTAAGTGATGAATGGAAGGCTCGTATCTAGGTCCTGCAGGCCATCCAGCAACACCTCCTCGGCCCTGCTGTTGTAGCATCGACCCTGAGGGTAACAGTGAACATGAATGACAGCCTCTACTCAAACTACTTACAGACGAAGTGGACTCTGCTGCCAGTCTTGCCGCATACCTGGCGATCAGCCTGTGTTCTTCATCAAGCCGGTTTGAACTCTCAAGCATACTGTGGAGCACAGAGCAAGAAGGAGACTGTTAGGCAGTGCAAAAGATTGATGTGTTCATATCACTGCCAAGGGTGTTTGCTATTTCAATTTTTCGGTGCAAAAATTTGAAAGCTATACAAAACTCTGTTAGGTTAATGATCTCAGACTTGGATTCATGACATGATCTAATATGTGGCCAGGAAGTTTCATTAATAAATACTGTCTTCAGTTGATTCAATGTCTTGCTAAGAAAACTCCAAAGAAGAGTGACTTTTCTCATCAACGTGTCTGATGAAAGAATACTTTCTCTTTAATTTTATTGCCCATAACATTTTTATTTATGTATTAGAAAATATTGAAGATGCAAAAAATCCCCAATTATGAAGCACCTGGGTGGCTCAGTTGGTTAAGTGTCCAACTCTTGATCTCAGCTCAGGTCTTGATCTCAGGGTTGTGAGTTAGAGCCCCACGCTGGGCATGGAGCTTGCTTAACAACACCAACACCAACACAACAATTGTGGTCAGCCTTCAATGATCAGCACCTCCTGGTATTCACATTTGTGTATAATCCTCTTCCTTTAGTATGAACTGGCCTCACTGGCTTGCCTTTTTTTTTTTTTAATTTCATTAGTTTCTTTTTTAAAAAATTATTTAAATTTAAGTATAATACATATAATGTATTATTGGTTTCAGAGGTAGAGGTCAGTGATTCAGGAGTCTTATATAATACCCAGCACTCATTACATCACATGCCCTCCTTAATGTCCAACATCCAGTTACTCTGTCCCCCACCCCCTCACCTCCTGACTGGCATGCTTTTAATGAATAGAATAGAGCAGAAGTAATGGAATGTCACTTCCAAGATTAGGCTATAAAAAACACTGTGGTTTCCATCTTGAGCGGTTTCTCTATCTTGAGTTCATTGGATTCCTTGCTCTATGGGAAGCTAACTGCCGTGTCATAAGGCAGCCTGTGGAAAGGCCCATGTGATAAGGAACTGAAGCTAGCCAATAATAACCTTGTGAATGAAAACTCACAGGTAGAGCCTTTAGATAAGATAGCAGCCCCAGCCAACAGCTTGATGGCAATGACAACCTTGTGAAAATCCTTGAGACACAGGCACCTAGCTGGATTCCTGACCCACTGTGGGATAGTAAATGTTTGTTCCTTTAAGCTGCAAAGCCTTTGGGTAATTTGTCATATAGCAATAGATAACTAATACAAATTGTTATCTATAATATTACTACTCAAGTAACTTGCTATTTTATATTTATTTCTAGAAAAATGGAATTATTGCAGTGGCTTCTAATGACATTAATGGAAATTGTTTACTGTCTTGTATAATTACAGAAATTGTTATTACTAGAATAAGAATGATCTGAGTCCCTAAAAAACTAAAGCAAATAGAAGCATTATCAACTCTCCCATATTTCAGGAGGATCTTCATTCAAGACTAAGTTTTGCATGCAATTAAAACAATTCTATGAGAAACATACCAGTAACATCAGTCCTGTTAACAGACTAATCGATTATAGTTTGGTTTATCTATTATTGGGTCAGAATTAAGATTAGAAACTACTATCCCTCATCCCTGAATATATTCTCCTCCATTTATATTTCCTACCTGTTATTCTTAAGCTGTTTCTTAAAGACAAAAAAATCAATACTTATGATTATACACTGAAAGTAATACACTTCTATGCCAATATTAAGTCTGTAAGAGTTATCCATTGCAAAGACTTAAATCCATATAGAGTAATATACACTTATTATTTCTATGTGTATTTACATATAAGGTAAATATGCAACATAGTCTTTTAACCTTTGTTCTAAAGTGAGAAGATGAGTGCAAATCATTATGTGCTTCCAGAGTATTAGCTATGTCACTTCCAAATAGCTCTTCCCTGGCTGGCTGAATCCATTATTCAACCATTTTTTCTTGTCATTCAGAAAAGATTCCTGTCCCCATCATCTCTGCTCCAGTCTACACTCCTCACATATGGAATCTCTACCTGTTCTTATTCTGAATACTTCCACTATAGATTTAGCTCTTTTCTCTGGGCTGAAATAACTACCTAGAATATTCCTGAATATTTATATTTACTAAGTCACTTCTCCATCCTCAGAAAAAATCTTCTCTTCCCTTTTTGCTCATGTGAGATAATGCATGTAAAACACATCAAGTTAGTATAATGCTTAGAATACATTAAGTGCTCAAAAGTCAGTTAATTATTGTTATTTTGCCTCTTAAGTAACCTGTTCAGATTCACTAATGATCCATGTCTCCTTCAGAATGTCATCTCCCATCCAACAACCATGTAGAGTAGGGCTTCTCAAACTTTACTATATATACTTATCACTTAGGGATCTTATAAAAATGTAGTTTTTCATCTGTAGTTGGGGGGTGATAGGGTAGGTTGTGGGAGGCAAAACCTAAGAATCTGCATTCCTAAGGAAGCTTCTCAGATATGTTGATACTGCTGGTTGAAGGACAACCATGAGTTGGCAAGGATTTAGAAGATCCTGAAAATAAAATGGAAAACCTAAACACATGAAATAAATCCTAAATGCAAACCATATAAAAGAAATAATGAGTATTGAACTTATATCCATGTAGCATGTATGATATTTTATAAACATTCCTCAATGTTTATAAGAAAGTCTAGGTTTCCAGGCTCAAATACATGTGGTATAATCCTCATAGATTGAGATCTCAATCAGCATAGAAAAGACTTGGAGTAAGAAAATAACTGTAATAGCAAAAGGAGTTAGTTCTAGAGAATTGATGCTTTATTATTATTTTTTTTTATTTATGACAGGCACACAGTGAGAGAGGCAGAGACACAGGCAGAGGGAGAAGCAGGCTCCATGCACCGGGAGCCCAATGTGGGATTCGATCCCGGGTCTCCAGGATCGCGCCCCGGGCGGAAGGCAGGCGCCAAACTGCTGCACCACCCAGGGATCTCGAGAATTGATGCTTTAAAGCAGATGTTTGTCTCTAAGACACAATGTCTGCACTCTGTAATGGTTAAAATAATAACTGAATTACTTGTAACAGCTTTAATAAGAAAAAAGTTATACTCTCTTCACTTTATTTTTTATTATTATTTTTTAATTAAAGATTTTATTTATTTATTCATGAGAGACACAAAGAGAGAGACAGAGAGACAGAAAGACAGAGAGACAGGGAGAGGGAGAAGCAGGCTCCATGCAGGGAGCCTGACATGGGACTCGATCCTGGGTCTCCAGGACCACACCCTGGGCTGAAGGCGGCACTGAACCGCTGAGCCACAGGACTGTCTCTTCACTTTAAACATAACACTACTCACAAAAAATAATTTAATTTTAATATGCTTATCATTTCTGGCTGGTATTAGAAATAATATGCCTAATTCAGCACAGTTTATGTAGACAACAGGGCCCATTACTCTAAGCCAAGGGCAAAGATCAATTTGCAAGAAAGTGACTTTGTCAAAAACATTTGTGAGTGTTTTGATAAATAAATAATAAAAAACTTGATAAAAAATCTCATGATATAAGTGTCTTTTATCATGAATGACCAGCAAGTATAAATAATATAAAGGTTACATAAAAAAAAAGCCTCTTGGAGATGTAAGACGTGAAGTTATGGGATCCTGTCTGGTAAGCTATAACTCATACTTCCATGCCTTTCCTCCCCCAGCCCTGAGTGAATGAGGGGTGGAGTGATATATTACCCCTTTGTGCACACAAACGATTTATGAGTCCACATGTGCCATTTCAGTATGTTCAAATTATACAAGGGTGAATGAGGCATTCCTCTGATAAATTCCATTATTTCAAGACTTCAATTACAAATAGTTGAAAATGAATGGCCAATAATCCCTAAATCATTAAAGAAATACCAATTCCAAAACTTTCTCCATCTCTGGCTATTCATGTCAAGACTTTATAATCAGTAATCTTGTTACAAGACCATGATGAATTAAAAAGTGGCTGCTGTGTAGACTGCATTTCAGAGTGGGGAAATCTATTATTTTGAAAGCTCTCGGCTTCCTACCTTAAATGCATAGCCTGTGTGTGTTGCTAGTGAGTTCAAATTGGCATTCTAGGAAACTCAAGTGGCCTCAGCTGAGGTAGGGCTTGCTAAATTGTGATTGTTCCCAGATTTCTGGGAACCTAGGGTGTGTTCACATTTCTCTGGTTTCTCTTCAAAACTGCTCTGACGGGATCCCTGGGTGGCGCAGCGGTTTAGCGCCTGCCTTTGGCCCAGGGCGCGATCCTGGAGACCCGGGATCGAATCCCACGTCGGGCTCCCGGTGCATGAAGCCTGCTTGTGTCTCTGCCTCTCTCTCTGTCTGTGACTATCATAAAAAAATTAAAAAAAAATATTTATAAAAAACTGCTCTGACTTCCCAGGTGGGACAGTCAAGCAAATAATGTGGAAAAGGAGAGCAGAAACTCATCCATGTTTTCTCTTGATATTTTTCCATTTGTATGACTGGGTGAAAGGAATTTTTATCAGTAGAGATTTATTTTTAAGGTCATTAAGTCTCCTATATTAACCTTTGATTAAAAAGCAAACAACAAAGAGGAGGATTACTACCTGAGAAGATATTGTTAGTTGCAATGAAGAGCAGAGTTACTCTATTAGGTGATTTCCTGCCTTTTGCAGTTGGTTGAGAGCAAAATGCTCTAGGAATAGAGCCTACTCAGGCCTTCAGGAGTTAGTGAACAGAAGAGTCAGGGTAGAAGGGAGCAAAGTGATTCTGGGGCCCAGGACATGATTTTATGGGACTGAAGAATGGAGAGGGGAATGAACTAACTACCAAAGCTTCAGAGACACCTGGGTGGCTCAGTGGTAGAGTGTCTGCCTTCAGCTCAGGGTATGATTCCAGGATCCTGGATTGAGTCTTGTATCAGGCTCTCCGCAGGGAGCCTGCTTCTCCCTCTGCCTATGTCTCTGCCTCTCTCTGTGTGTGTATGTCTCTCATGAACAAATAAATAAAATTAAAAAACAAAGCTTCAACTGTTGGCTCTT